GGTTAGAAAACCATACCCATATCTTCAGAGAAATGGAGCCAACACAGAGCCATATGGTTTAATAAATGACAGTCTAGCCAGTACAGACTAACCCAAAAAGTCTTGACCCGTCTGCTTTCACTGTGGTTAAACAAGTGGCATCTTTGTTTATTGCGCCACTATACATTCATTTTTAAGCTGACAATCAGCAAATTCATAGCTATTGTGTATCTGGAAAGCTCCTTTTTCATTTCTTTCTCAGAATAAAAAGGTTAGTGCAAAACATCAGAATATGTATTTTCACTGATAGGAGATTTCAGTGCACACTGTTTACTTGGTTGTCTGTGTAGAGGCCCACTATGCATAAGTCAGTGCAGAGAAATAAAATATTGTTTTATAACACAATGAAATTTTCCAAAAAGGATATTAATTTCCTGTTCAAGAAATGGCACTATTATTTACTTGAGACAGATATGCTAAGTGGCCTGGAGGAATTTTGTTTTTAGGAGACAGAGTTGCCATCATTGTGAGTAAGAGTGTTGCATTGTTCTTGAAAATGGCAATTAAAACAAATTTTGATTTGAAGGTAATTAGCAAAAATGGCAAAACACTATTTCAAAGCTTGACAAATTTTCCAAATAGCTAAAGCTGAAATGAGTCCAGTTCCTGGGATAATCTTCAGATTGCTCAAAAGTATTGCCTAATATCAACAAGAAATCAGCTATGAAAAATCTCTTTAAATTCCATGGTATTAACTGCAATGCATTTCATATACAAATTAGCAGACCTGACAAGATGCTATGTCAACATCTTAAATCCCTCAAATTTTGTTACCCTGAGGTCAGATCAGCAAGATGTTAGTGAGCAGAAAGACTACTCTCAGTCCTTTTCCACATGAACTCACCTGCCAAATCTTCTCAACTGCTTTTTCTCAACCACACCATCTATAACCCCTCCACCTTCCAGGCCACTCTCACCTCCTAAAGACCTCTATGGACAATCCTCACCTTCCTTCTTTTTGTTTGCTTCCCCCGAGATGCATCTGCCCCTAGGCCACTGAACTTCCCACCAAACCTTTCTGCCTTTCCCTGTTCTTAGTCCCATGCTCGTACCTACCCAGGGACACGTAATGCCTCGGGTGCAAGATTAGATTCTGCCATTCCAAGGATAATTTATTTTCAAATTACATCTAATTATGTGTGGACTGTTGAAAGGGCAAGTATAAGCCAATTTAAGAGGAGAAAGATAAAGCTGAAAAATGTTACAATTGTATTACAACAGCCGAGACACAACACTTCAGGACCTTTGTCTTGAATGAGATCATGTTTCCATTTTTCAACCCCGTGTGGAGCAAACTGACCTGTTCTACCATAGCACATGACAACGTGTTGTCATACAGTAGCTCAAAATCTCTGCTGTACTCAGATCTTGATGTTTGCAAGATGGGATGAGTGAGAGAATCGTCAGGCAGCTGGTTGTGGTTCCAGATTCTCCAGCTGAATCAGTGCTTGTCTGGACAGCTCTAAGCAGTACCAGCTGCTGATAGCTCCCCTTGGGATCATTTTCTAATTGCAGACTACCAGACACAGCAGGGCATCCCTTTCTTCTCCAGGGGTCATTCTTATGCTGGGATGGAGGGGAGGAAATTTGTGAACCAAATATGCTGAGAACTGTCAGTATGGTAGAGACAGCTAATCAGTTGGTGAATGTTTGAGAGGCTTCTGATACTTTAGTGCTCTTTCTTGCAGGGAATCTATATTTTGCCTTACTAATATCAGCCTGTTAATTCAACAGTGCGGATATTATACACCAGAATGGCTTCACTGATGTTTATTCAGGTGATTTTTATCAGGGTTTATGCTAATCCAGGACTGTGCTGTCCTATCGAGTTCGTGTGTCTGTGTCATCACTTGTACTGAACTCACTTGTCTGGTCCATCTCACTTGAGAAAGCCTTTATCTTGTGATATTCCCCCAGAGGAATGGGGTTGTCAGGTCCTTAATGTTACATCAACGTAAAGAACATGCAGCTGTAGTCTGTATGCCTAGGGCATGATTCCAGATGACAGTTTCAATAGCAGTGGTGATTCTTAAAAACTTAATCTTTGTTAGTGACCTCTTTTTGAATTTCTAGCCAAAAATATTTCGACACTTCAGTTGTAGTGTGGTGCACCTATATTTTCTTACTGATCTTTGCGAAGTGTAGGAATCCTGCATGAAAGATAACAAAACACTGATTAAGATTTCAAACTCCAAGGCCTCGTCTGTGAACGGCTCTCCAAAGCCACAAAACCTTGCAGAAGATGCCTTTGCCGCCGGTACCTGTCTCAGCGGGGTCAGTGAAGGCTCGCTCCCGGGGCCGTACCTGACTGCCCGCAGCTGCGGCTGGAGTTTCTGTGCCTGTCACTAGAGGGCAGCACAGCTGCGCTCGGCACCAGCCCAGCCCGCGGGCGCGAACCCCGCACAGAGACCTGGGGGCTTCTCTCCACAAATCCCACCCTCAAGCGCTAACCTAAATAATTACCCGATGAATACTTTCGAATGGACGATCCGGAATAACACTGAGAGGAGAATAATTCTTCTTACAGCAGGAGGAATTGGTTTCTCGGTGTGTGTCACTTCCTCGTGAGTGTCACTGCCCACTGCAGTGCCGAGAACAACTGCAGTCAGTTTCGGACACATAGTCCCTGATTCTGAGCTATGGATGCTAAC